AGAGTTGCGGGGGGCGCGGAAGATGAATCCCAAGGGAGGGGAAGAAAACTTGCCGGAGCTGGTTTCTGAGAATGAGGTGTGTGTAGGCAGCTTTGAACTAGGGGTATAGAACATCTGGGTCCAAGTCCAGGCTCCACCACCGGCGCACAGAGTGACCTCGAGTCACCCACACGCACCCATTCACTCCTTGGGCCTCAGTTTCCCCACTTGATCTCTAAGACCCCTTCAAGGACCGCCAGCGCTGCTGAGAACCGCAGGAGCCCGGATCCCGGGGACCAGGGCACCCTCTTTACATAGGTAGGAAGAGAGGCCTCAAGGACCCCAGCCTTCACCTCTCAGCTCTGCCGCTGTCGGCATCCGACGAAGACGCAGCAGCCATCTTCTCAGGCGTCACCCTGGCAACCAGCTCCGGCAAGCTGCCGCGCAGCGCCTAATAGAGCCCGGCTTCTGGGAAGCTCGCGTATAAAGGTTCCGGGCGCTCAGCTTTCCGGCCCGGGACGCAGAGGCCAGCGGGCAGGATGCTCTGGCTTGTGCCGGGTTTCTAGCTACTGAGATGCAATCCCTCATTCCAGCTCATATCATTTATCCTTGATCCTTCCAGTAGGAGCTTCTGCTTCTGGGCCCTGCAGCTCAGGGTCAGCAGCAGGGCCCTCTGGCTTTGAGCCCTGGAGAGGAGCCCTTGGAGTGTTTATGAACAGCAAAACTAACTCCTCCCTTCTTCATCCTCATGGTTAACCGGGTGGAAAAGAGGCCACTCCTTTTCTCCCTCCTTACTCTAGAGGTCCAGGCTCAGAGAAATAACACAAAGGGTAAGAGATTAAATCCTAGGATTGTGACTGAAGTTAAGGTTTTCCAGTTTTTAGGTTCCTGGAATATTTTAAAATAGAAGAAAAGCCACGAAGGAGGACGGCAAAATTGTGCTACGTTCATCTCTTGACTCTCTGTATATCCACATTTAGAGGTGATGTCAAAATCCCGTTGTGGATGGGAGCCTAAAAATAACCCTCCTTCTCCCTCCACAGGCCTTGACCCCAGCACCTTGCTGGGAGCAAATGAGAAGTGAGGTAAAGGCAAGGAAGAACCACACAAATTGCAAAGATGGTGGTGGTTTCTAATATTTATTTTTCTGGTTATAAAAGTAATACATGAAGAGCACTGGATTGGGAGAGGTTTTGAGTCCTGCAGGATGACAGGTCACTTTCTCAGAACCTGCATTGCCTCATCTGGGAAGCCGGATAAGGAGTCCTGCCTTGCCCACCCCACAGAGGGCAGTGCAGATCAAATGAGATAACACAGGGGAAGCACTTGGTAAGCCGGAAAGTGCTGTCAAATGGAAGGGCTTAGTGTCACCACCCTTGGCTGAGGTAGCACCAAGGTCCGAGCTCCTGCCCCTCCCCTAGCCCCTAAGACACAGACAAAGAGGGGGCCACTTGCAGCCTTGGTTTAATGGAGTGGGGGAAGGGCCATGCAAATCTGCCTCAAGCCTGGCCAGATGGGGTTTCACTGGGGCACTTCCAGAACCGGGCATCAGCTGTGGCCAGATGGGTGAGGATCTCCTCCAACTCGGGCCCATCCTCTGGGAAGCGCTCAGAGAAGGATCGGATGAGGCCAGCAGCTGAGGCCTCATACTCAAGAAGCTGTACTTCTGAGCCTGGGGAGGAGATGGAGAAAAGAACAGCAGCAGGAAAAGGTCTTAATAGGGAAGCAGCATCACAATCATAAGCATAGGAGCAGCTAGTTCTTCCTGAGCTCTTACCATGTGCCAAAAATTGTGCTCAATATTTCTTTTTTCTTTTCTTTTTTTTTTTTTTTTGCGGTACGCGGGCTTCTCACTGCTGTGGCCTCTCCCATTGCGGGGCACAGGCTCCGGACGCACAGGCTCAGCAGCCGTGGCTCACGGGCCCAGCCGCTCTGCGGCACGTGGGATCCTCCCGGACCGGGGCACGAACCCGAGTCCCCTGCATCGGCAGGCGGACTCTCAACCACTGCGCCACCAGGGAAGCCCCTCAGTATTTCTTTATCTAATTGAATCCTTAAAATAATCCTATGAGATAGGAAATATTAAAGGGGGGTATTCAATGAATTGCTGCATTCATTCATTCACTTAATAAAGATTTACACCAGTGCCATGTTAGGTAAGACAGACACAGTCCTTGGCCTCCAGGAATTGCCTTATCTCTGTCTACTGCTGGACCCTGGGCAAGTTTCTCAACCTCTCTAAGCCTCAGTTTCCTCATCTGTAAAGTGTGGGCAAGCACAGTACTTGTTCTCTCAAGAAGCTGTGGTGATTAAATACAATAATGCATTGAGGGAATGCTCACCAAGCGCTAGCTACCACGAGCATCACGACCTCTGAACCTACTATTCATCTGTTAAGTGAGGCTGTTCCCAGGGTACCCATCTAACTTATGGGGTGTTCCTGAATACTCATGGGAAGCACTTCCCTCTAACATCCTTCCACTGCTCTACCCACTCACAGCACCTTGTTGTGCTCTGTGGCATCATGGGATGTACGCAGCTAAGAGCACAGGCTCTGAGTTCAGATGGCCCAAGTTCAAATCCTGGTCCTGCCACCCACTAACTGTGTGACCTCAAGCAAGTACATTCCCTTCTGTGTCTTAGTTTCCAGCTGAAAAACGGGGATAATAACTTCCTCATTGAGTTGTTGGGAGTTGATCCATGGAAAGTTTTTACCCAGACTCTGGCACATGGAAGTCCTCAAAAGTTAGCTACAATCATCATCAGCATCTTCATCATCATCACCACCACTACCTTTGAAAATTCAACCTGTTCTTCAGGCCTTAAAGTTTTACCCCCATTTCCTCCCCAGACCCTTCCCTGAGTCCCTCAAAAGTAGAGGTGATCTTCCCTTCTCTAAGTGTTCATACCACTGTTTGTGTCTCTTGGGCACCCATGAGTACTTCCCTTATAAGATCATTTCTCTCTCTGGCTTATTCCTAATGGGCTGTGAACTACTTGAAGTGAGTAGTCCAACCCCAATTCCTGCCCAGGGCTGGACAGTCAAAGCAATGACGATATTGTCCATGTAATGAGCACTGACTATGTGCCCGGCATGATCCATTCTCTCACTCATTTGACAGGCATTGAGAGGCTCCTGTGGGCCAGGCCCTGTGCCAGGTGTCAGGGATGTGCTGCTCCTGCTGCCACGGAGATGAGCAGATGAACAGACAGGAAAATGGCAGAGTGACAGCCGTTTGAAGAAGAGGAAGCTGGGTGATAGCTCAGGGGGTGTGCCTGGAGGGTGGGGAGCCGGGGAGAGGGTTGCCAAGGGGTGGGGGCCAAACTCCTCTATTTTATTTTTAAAATGAGGTGTATTTTCATTGTTATTATTTTTTTCTTTTGGCCGCACCACGCGTCTTGCGGGGATCTTAGTTCCCTGACCAGGGACTGAACCCATGCCCTGGCAGTGAAAGTGCCGGGTCTTAACCACTGGGCCACCAGGGAATTCCCCAGAGTAGAGTTTAGAATAAACCTTTTAAATGCTTTTTCCTCACCAGGAGGAGGTATTTATTTCATTTAACCCTCACAACTGCCCATGACTATGGCAGTGAGGAGCAAACGCTCTTAATACAAAAGGGCCTTTAATACAAGAGGTACAAGCGCAAGGCAGACAGGGCCAGGGATTCTGGCAACGGCATCATTGCTTGAGGAGGGAGAAGGACCACGGGGATGCTGATCTCTCTCCGGGCTCTGCCGAGTCCTGTTGTCCCCTGGGCTCAACTCAGCCTGCTGGGTGCCAACTCTCTGCCTGAGCTGACCTCACTCCTGGGCCCCCGACAGGCCTGATTCTCCGGTACGATGCCTGGCCTCCTCACAGGCCCGGGGTCTGCCTGTTCTACTAGTCCCTGCTCTGCTGGCCTGCCTCAAACCTTCTGTTGCCGTCTGAGAAGCAGCATGACCCCGTGTATGTGGGGGGTGGTAGATGCCAAGGTGTGGGCCTGAGGGTTGGCATGGGGAGGAGGGCCACCCCAGGTAGCCTTTCCTGAGCCCGGGTTGGTTCCAGGCCTTCTCTGTGCTCCCAGAGGGCTCTGCACGGCCCCCATCAGTGAGGGCTCAGGAGCCCATTACCTTCGAGGCGAGTGTTGGGCTGAACGATGAGCTTCCGGGCTTCCTTACGGAGCAGCACTGTGTCCCTGAGGGAGAGGAAGCACTCGGGGGGTGCATCGGTGACCGCCGCGTACCCCTCATACAGGGCCCGGCCTCCAGCCACGTCCCCTGTGGACTTCAGCACCTGTGGGAAGGCAGCAGTTAGTGCCTATCATGGGCGCCCTCCCGGCATCCACGGGGCTTTGCCAGGGGCTACAGCCAACGGCGCCCAGCCCTGCTCTACATCTGCTCTCTCGCAGCTTTCCTGTGCTGAATACGCGAGGAATGCGGATCATGTGTTAGCATAGAGTAAGTGCCCACACTAAAGTGAAGCTAATTGTTCTCCTCTGCGTGTCTCACTTGAGCTGTAGACAAGGAAGGTATTATCATCATCCTCTTTTTTTTTTTTTAACATTTTTAGGGACTTCCCTGGTGGTCCAGTGGCTAAGACTCTGCGCTCCCAATGCAGACGGGCTGGGTTTGATCCCTGGTCAGGGTACTAGATCCCACGTGCCGCAACTAAGACCCGGTGCAGCCAAATAAATAAATATTGGGCTTCCCTGGTGGCACAGTGGTTAAGAATCTGCCTGCCAATGCAAGGGACACAGGTTCGAGCCCTGGCCTGGGAAGATCCCACATGCCGTGGAGCAACTAAGCCCGTGCACCACAACTACTGAGCCTGCGCTCTAGAGCCCGTGAGCCACAAGTACTGAGCCCACGTGCCACACTACTGAAGCCTGAGTACCTAGAGCCCCTGCTCCGCAACAAGAGAAGCCACGACAATGAGAAGCCTGTGCACTGCAACAAAGAGTAGCCCCCACTCACCGCAACCAGAGAAGAGCCTGTGTGCAGCAACAAAGACCCAACACAGCCAAAAAATAAATAAATAAATTTATTAAAAAAATAAAAATAAAAAGTTTTATTTTTACCATGACAAATGTTCAGGCAATTATCCTTAGTGTTCAACAAATACTTTTCCTTGGCTGCATGGCACGCGGGATCTCAGTTCCCCAACCAGGTATTGACCCTGTGGTGGGAGCTCGGAGGCTTAACCACTGGACCGCCAGGAAGTCCCCATCCTCTTTTTTTAGTAAAACATTTCACACACCCAAAATATATAGTATGTATGTTATAAAGAATAAGACACCCGTACAACCACCACCCAGCTTAAGAGTCAGTCCAATCGCCCCCTCCTTGACTGCACCCTGTGGTCTCCCCCACCTGAGGAATCAGCACTCGACTTGGTGCTCATTAGTCCCTTGTTTTCCCTGA